TCGCGCATTCTCTCCGTGACGTAATATTGCATGTGCGTCCACACATGTGACGTTTCACAAGCATGACTAAAGATATATACACCGACTACGCGGAACGTTATGATTTTCTTTCTCTCTCGCCCTCCGATTCGGCCTCTCTTTCATTCTCCGTATCTCTTTCTCTTTCTCTCTCACCTCATGTCTATGTTGTATATACCGTGTGAGTCAAAAAAGAGTTTACACCTAAAAAATTGGTAATAATTTTAAAAATCATCTATGAACATTACATTATTATACAACTTACGGGAGGCAAACGGGAGGCATTGTTTGCGAGAGTGCAAAAATCGACTTGCGCCAAAGTGAAGCCTACAGTATGTTTTATGTTGGGATTAGTGGAGTGAGAGAATGAATTGAATGTATCAAATGAAATGCATTGCATATGAGTTTTGCTGAAGCAAGTCACACACACAAACACACACGCGCACAAATGTCGTTGATATTCGATATTCGATATTTGATATGTGTGGCAAGATTAATTTTGTAAGGGATGTTATTTGGATCTGCAAAGACCGAATTAATACCCAAATCCCAATTTTTTTATTCAAACATCAGATAAGCAACTTGGGCGCAAGTCGATTTTTGCGCTCTCGCAAACAATGCCTCCTGTTCATCCAAGCGTGAACACATACCACACAAAATGATACTAAATGATTCGGGATAAAACACTCTTTCATAAGATGACTTATAATTAACTGTTCATAGATGATTTCTAAAATAATTTGCAATTTTCTAGGTGTAAACTTTTTGTTTGACTCACACTGTATTGTAATCTCTACATGGTTATGTTTCTGATCATTACAACATTTGAAGATCATTCAATGTATTTACAACACTCTTTTAAAATTGGAAATTAATGTAGTGTTTTAAAGATATTCCCTTTTGCAGCTAACATCAAATTCTGTAGAACTTGGCCGGAATTATGAATATGTCATGTATGTCCTATCGGTGAAATGTAAACATTAGCAGTGTCCTAATATTCTAATAATGCAAGGAAACCCGTTTACCTTCTAGATTTCACTGTCAGACACTATCGTGTGACTGACTGACATCTTTTTTTTTCTTTAGTAATAACATACATAAAATGAGCTGTGACAGGTACATGAGCATTTGTCTACATCAATAGCCCACTACTTGTAATGGCCAAAATTAAACTAATTTAATCTTTAGGCAGCACAAAATGTACGACCATTCGGTAAAAGGGTCTGAAAATCAGACTATTACTTAGGTGGTTGCAATCACTTCATTTGCAAGCCCTTTCGTTTTGAAGGAAGTTCTAAATTAGTATTGTCTTTCAAATGCCGTTGGAATATAACCTTTTCATTTGTTGGGCCTGCAAATGGAACGTACCTTTAAGTCTGTGATTATAGTTGAAATAAATGAATCTCCAAAATTAAAACACTCAAATTAACCAAAAGCCAAGATATGCTTTACTCTTCCACCGCGTTGTATTTTTATTCAAAATGGTACGAAACAAAAATATTCTTTCATAATGTTGTTGTACAAACAATTAATCTTGCCTAGTTTAATAAACACCTGCAATCGCAGACAGTCGACACGGATGGAGCCATAAAAAAAAATACCCCGGCAAAAACTAATCTTGGCCCTATTTCATAAAAATTGATACCAATAACAAGTTACAATAGCTGTTATAAGCTACTGAAATCGCGGCATCTGATTGGCTGAGAGCAAAGTTGTCATAGAAATTTATCTTTTTTCTTTCTTTATAACAAGTTTGATGAAACAGGGCCCTGATATTAGGTATACAGAACAGATCAAAATGTCTTCAAATTTGTGGATGTGTGTCCTTTCTCGGCAATAATTTCGATAAATCATATTTGTTTGAGAATATATGGACAATAAAATTATGACGGATTTTAATCTAAATGTCGGATACTCTTTATCTTGCGGTTGCTTGTTATATATTCTTTCGGCTTGTGCACCCTTCTGTGAAAGCTTAAATTAATTTGCTCTATTTCGATAACATCATATTCCTTATTTTTTGTCAGAATTGTATGAAGAAATAAAGAGAGACGGGCAAAATGTTCATTCCCCACCAGCCCAGACCCCCCCCCTCCCCCTACCCTCTTCACTTGTGCAAGGGAATACTTTATCCGCCACTGTCTTGGTCGCAAGCAATAGAAAATTTAAAAAAAATGACCAGATAATTATTCCAACCCACAAGACTCAACGCGCTATCCAATCGAATATATAATTGTGTACAAGTATTCAATAATACGTTAGGCAACGAGATATACATTAAGTACCAGATGCATGTTTACATAAATGTTACACAGTAATAAAAGATAAGAGACGGGTTATTTTACCTTTAAAGCACTTGATTTCCAATTTCCCCTATAACCGGGTATGTATATATTCCAAGTATGGTTCACACAACAATATTAATGAATAAATGATTTACAAATTATTTAAATATAAGGGCCCACTACGTTAAAGGGAAAGTTGAGCTCTGTTGCAGAGTTAATGAAAAAGTGAGTGTCAAATTTGAAAGAACATACAATTTAAATGACAAAATTATCTTTGTTTGATCAAAATCGGTTGAGAGACGGCTGAAATATATATTAGATAATTTGAACCAGCCGTTGAAAAAGCGAGATAGCGCGTCATACGTTTTATTCCAGCCAATGCCGATCTGGCTTTGTGTCACGGTTATAATACGCACAATTGGCCGACCAGTGTATCGTTATTATTAATTAATTAATTAATTAATTAATGTTCACCGTATATTTTTTAAAGTGGTGCTGAATTGGTATGATCGTATTGATCTAAAATGATCTTCATAGCAATTTTAGGTCCTAAAAGAGCACTAGAAATGTTATAATTAATAATAAGAGCAATAACCATGCACTTTGAAGGCATTTGCGGTCTGAAACAAGAACTCAACTATCCCTTTAAAGATACAATTTAAAGTTAAAAACCGGTCAATTAAAGTAAATAAATATATCCGTATCGTTGTTTCGGAAAGAAGTCTAGGGTCTCTGCACTCTGGATAAAATAAAGGAAGTAAGAAATAGACAAAGAAATGTATACAAATCAAATATATAACAAAAGAACCACACATAGCGACTGAACTGGACAGAGCATACCCTTCACGACACAGTCGTCCTCAGTAGCAGGCTGACTACTGATTTGACCAGAGCAATGTCATAATTTGCATAATGATTGCAAAAATAAAAATATAAAAGACATCTCCAAAGAATCCAAACATTATCTATGTCCACGACAGTGCTTTACAGACGTGTTAAAATATGGATTTTTACATATGCATCATACCATAGAAAGCATCAACATCATTACATGAAATAGAATCAAATATAATAAAAGCGAATATGAGAGTAATTATAATACTCTGCCTTTAAAGAAATGTAATTATCCCTGTTGGTACTTATCCATCAATCTTAGTGCTTACTATTCATGTGCTTAGAATAATATGATTCTAATCACTCTCATAATATTTCAAAGATCCAAACTAATAAAGCAGTATTCATACAATAACTACTTATCATGTAACATAGCACCCCCGTCTTGCCAGTGTATCCACCAACGAAGTTAATCTGTATTACGATAGGAATAGGGATTCATGTGTTAGCAGGGTGAATCTCACGTACATAAGGAGATAGAGCAAGCTATAAACAGGGAGAGAGAGAGAGGAGAGAAACTCGAAAGTGGAGCTTGAAATAAGCACTGGGGGTGTGCTCTTATGTATACCTGATAGTGAAATTTCAGGGTGTTATATACAGAGTGAGGGAAAAAAGAAACTCCAAGCGCTACTGAATATAATAACAATAATAATTATATTGCTTATGTAGCGCATAACACTTAATTTATCAGAAGTCTCTAAGCGCTCTACAATGATGCAGCATAATGGTTTTTAATGAAAAAAGTACTGACGAGTCAGAGGCATATTGCTGTTGTTTTGTCACATTTGGCAATTTTCAGCACTGACTACTTTTGCCACAATTTCAAAGGTCATTTAAAACCCGTTGGCTACTGATGGGCCTCATTCCTTTAGGTTTAATACAGGAGCGATGCATCTGGGTCTGGCACTGGGTTAAAACCTTATGTTATAATACGACTATAATGCTAACTGTATTCACAACTAACAGATTCATAGCAGATTTAGAAGATTACGACTTTTAGCTCATAGCTCAATCATGTCATGTTGGTGATTTTGGTGATTAGAAGCGTGGAAGGGGAAAATCGGACATTCTTCTGTGTACAGTTTTCGGTTTCTTGTTTTGTTTTGTCTCACAAGATACTTAGCCTGGAAAACACGTCCACAATTACGTTTCTGTTTGTTGGTTTTATGTTATGCTGACTAATTTTGCTCTATCTCTATGGTCGTCCAATCCTAATTCCTTTTCATCTTGGCCTGTTGCCCTTTCACTCCCTCCTCTATGTCCACTTTCTCTGTAATCCGGGCCCCTTTTCACTTGACTGTGTTGTATATGCAACAAATACCAGTATAATTCTTACAATACTGGTGTCGAATAGTCAATCAGATCTCATGTATATCTTAAAGATTGATCCCCACTTATTCGTGTTCCTTGATTTTACACGAAGTTGTTACTTTCTGTGTACCTCTAGTTGTTTACTTGCACCTTATGTTGATAGGACACTCAGCACTTCACGTCCTTTGTGACGCACACACACCCCTTTCATCTGCAAGAATCTTGAGGAGTGAAGGAGGCAGATTATGACGAAGAAGAAGAAGATATATTTTGAACAGTAATATATATATATACTTATCATGCTCTTTTTTGTATTGAATTTTTAAAACGATTGCAACTATTTTCGAAATATCAACTCAAGAGCAATTTCAGAATCCTATTGTACATCCCAGAGAAATCATGTTCGGATTACGTAATACTGCATTGTCACCGTTCCACATTTCAATAGGTGACGCACAAGGCTATTGATCTAACCCTAGTATGTTGATTTTTCGAAAGAAGTTGCCATCGCGTTTTTATAATGAGTGAATAATGAGTGAATGTTGAATCTTGCATCGTGAGTTCGACCTGTCCATACCTATATGGCGGTCATGCTGACACCATCTACAGACTTGTCTTCCATGTCACCGGATATGCTTTTGACCATGACATCCTTACTCGGCTTGACATCAGTATTAACCACGCACTTGAAGACGTCGTACTTCTTAGGAAGATAACCCTTCTTAAAGACGATGTCGGTGATGTACGAGACAACGACAAGCGACACGAAAGCCACGATGGCAGCCAGGGTGCGGAAAGGAAACAACTGACCGAGCTCCTCGTCGTAGTACGGGTAACGTAACAGGACGGGAAGCTTGAGGGCGGGCTCGCCGCCTGCCAGTCGGAGCGCAAGCCCGAGGACGAACGCCACGGCTGAGCCGTAGGTGTTGGACTTCTCGACGTGGATAACGCAGACTAACTGCGGAAAGAGCACGACGTAGACGAAATCTCCACAACGAATGACGAGGACGTAGATGGAGTCGACAGTCAACGCCATGACGGTAGCTATAGCGGCAACAACAATCACCGCAAGCCGGAGTACCCAGATCATTTCTCTCTCAGAGGCCTAGAAGAACAGAAGGATTATAACAATTAACAAGGATTTAGACAATATATCCGTTCGAATATTTTATTTTATTTCTATGAAAATAACAGGAGAAAAACGTCGTCACATTCTTGGGTACGTTTTAAACTGCGGTATACACTGCGGTAATTAGGCCTGTGTAGGGAGTTGGCCCATACGCTATCAATCTAACGTAGTGCTTGCTTCCGTCATTTGATAATTATTTGTTGGCATGTCAAAGGCCACATCAGTCACTGACCCAGTCACTGACCCAGTTTTACGTCAGGCATATTCCATCTGTGTGCAAAGAGCTTTAAGGAACACAATGAGATGGTTTAAGGATAAATACAAACACTCCCCGTTCTCCTAAAGGTTATACAAAGTTTTGGTATGGGGTCATGACTTTGGTTCAAATGAACATATTGGAAGCATATACGATCCTACAATATTCAGTGATCGTTGTCGCGGTCGAAATCGACTCTAAAGTTATGAAATTGTAAATAATAAACAATTTATGTTGAATAGCTCCCTCTCAAAGTCAAGATATTAATTAAGCTATAAAACAATGTTTATTGACTAAAATCGAGTGATTATGATAAAAGTATCAAAACGCAAGACTAATAGCTTCAATGCCTGTCGCACACGCAGTGTCTTTTCTGCTGATTTATTACGTGCGCTAATCAATCCTGTAATAGCAAGGTATGCATGCACGTCATTAGACAGGTTATTCGGTGACGCAATGCTACGCAAATGAATGTAGAGAGAAAAGAAAATGCGATTGGACAAAAATTAAAACAAATTGTATTGTACTACTGGCGTTTGTACTGTTTGAATTTTTGTTTGCTTTTGTAACACTTGTGAATTTTTTAATGCAATTCGACAGTATTGTCTCGAATTCTTGATTATCTTTTTTGACAACATCAATGAAATGTAATGAATTGATTAGCGCTGGTAAAAGAATGTGTAAACGCCTCGTGTGCACCTGGCATTAAGCCACTTATACACGATCGCTGACGCAGAGGTACTGTACGTCAGGAGAAATGACATCCGTGTGCATCGGCATTACGCCAAATGAGCACGATCGCTGGGCCTGGCACAGTCCTATATAGTTCAGGCAGAATACGCATCGTCTGCAACAGGCTGTTACGTTCAGGAGAAATTTACCGATGTTCGGAAGATGTTCTTGTAGATGTTCCTCACGAACATCGAGCTCGAGGCGAGAATGGACGAGTCGGTGGATGACATTACTGCTGCTGCGATGGCCTCCAGGCCGAGGAAAGCAATAAAGGGCGGGGTGAGGAACTGGATGACAGCGGGGAGGACGATCCCGGGTGTCTCATATGGGTCTGTTTTATTCAGATTAATGTCTGTCAACGTCCAGTCTAAAACAAAAATAGCATCAATTGTATAGGATTAGAGAGCAAGAGCTACAGTTCGGGTAAGAGAGAGAGAGAGAGAGTGTGACTTTTAGTACAAGGTGTTATTTTCCAACATTCCCAATATTTTAGAAGCATTTTAGAGAAGAAAAAAAAAGTCTCTATTTGAGCCTAAAAGTGATTAGTTTTGTATTTAAAACAAAATGTGATTGCTTTCCTTAAAAACGAGGGGGTGGGGGACTGGGGTATACTTGTATAGACCATTCCCTCCCTTAAAAGGTTTTCGGTGTGCATACCACCCCCTCAATTTTCGCATGTGCTATGGGGACACTCACTTGTACTGGCGCCCACGGCACCCAAGATGTATGCTGGGATGCTAATAATTGCGCATCCGAAAGCTGCAACTATAGAGATGTAGCGCGCGTGGTCGGGTGACTTGACCGAGAGAGCTCGTTGGTAATACGCCTGGTAGGGTACTCCTCCAAAGATATAGAAACAAGTAAATAATAATAATGATAATGATTATAATAATTATAATTATTATACAAAATATGATAATGATGATAATAGTTATGATACATAAAACATAGACCCATAAAACAAGTACATTACATTATATCAACGAGAGAAGGAAAACATGTTAAGGGCTTATTTGAAAGAGACGAAACAAGTTTTCTAATGCAGAGGGATGATGTTCAACTTGTTCTATGTATATGAAGTAATCACTGTGAAATGTTGTACATTTTGTTTGAATAATAAGTTTAGAATCTGTCTTGTTAGCGAAAATAACAAGAATGGGATGTTAATCCTTTGCCTACGGAAACCTGGTGGTCGATGTACTAAGCATATGGGACATTCACAATGCAGTAGTCAACGGGAACACTGTAAGATGCTCAGATAGCAAATGATTTAAGATGCTCAGATGGCAAAGACTTTTCAATAATTCCGTATTTTTTGGTAGAGGTAACCACATGATACTTATAAACATAGCATACCGGTTAAAAAGAATGCACTACCAGTAAACAATTATCAATCCATATTCCAGTCAGTTTGGTGTCCCATTCGCCTAGCCAGCGATCCGTAGTCTCTACTATTGGTGTAACAGCATCATTGGTGAGCGCAAAAGGTAGACAAATCCACTACAGTAAAAAAAAAAAAAAATATTAAAAAATTACGAAATGTCAATGTAAATAATATATATTCTCAAAAATACTTGAAAAATAGCACTCTCAATTGCATTAAGTCAATGAAACAGATAATTTGATACATGTGGCTTTCACCCGAGCCGAGAAGAAGGAGTTAAGTCTTGTCTCGCGTGAGTCAGCAGGTCTTCCAGTCATCGGGAATCGGGTGGTAAGTCGAGTCGAGTCAGCAGGGTTTCGAACTCAAAGTTGAGTCGATTCGAATAGGCTTTGGGTCCCAAACCAAGATGTGTCAGGTCAAATCTTATTGGTGGTGCTGACGAGTTGAGTTGAGTAAGCAGGGCTTCGAACTCATAGTCGAGTGGGCTTCGGGTACCGAGTCAAATTGAGTCAAGGCGAATCGGCAGGGCTTTTAGTGTCGAGTTGAGTCGAGTCAAACGGGCTGCGGCTTTAATTCCTATTTTGAGTCAGCAGGGCCTTTAGAGATGAGTAAAATTCCGAGTCCTGAGTCAAGATGGGATAAGTCACCAGGGCAACGAGTCCGAAATTGAGAAGAGTCAGCAAGGACTCGAGTCCCAAACTTTCGGAGTCGATTCTGCAGTGTATCAACCCAAGTCAAAAACAGTTGAAACCAGTTGGAATTTTAACTGGTATCAACTAGAATCAACTGGTACCAGTTGAATCCAGTTGACGGAACTGGAATATGTGCCAGTTTATTCTACTGTTTTCAACTGGTACCAGTTGTACCATTTGAAACCAGTTGACACAACTGGTAAACTTCACATGCACCAGTATATCCCAGTTGAAACCCATTGACCGTACTGGCAAATGCTGAAAACAAACCAGTTGATTCCAGTTGAAACCAATTAACCTTACTGGCATATTGTTGCACCAGTTGATACCATTTAGAAACAATAGGCGTTGCTGTTACATTTGCCAGTTGATTCTAGTTTAAAACCCATAAAACCAAAGTGGACCATTTGAGACGAGTTGTTTCCAATTCGAACATATTGAAACTCAATGGGTGTTTTTTTTAACAGTTGATTCCATTTGAAAGCCATTAACTATAGGCGTATACTGGTATATTATTAGACCGGTTGATACCATTTAAAACCAATGGACCTTACTGGTAAATCTACTAGTTCATAACTTCATTCCAGTTGCAGCACAGTGGCCAAACTTGACCATTTGATACCAGCTGTTTCCAGTTGAAACCAGTAGATGATTACCAGATGATTTACCAGTTGAAACCAGTTAATGATTGCCAGTTGATTTACCAGTTGAAACCAATAAAATACCAGTTGAAAAACCAGTTCAATGTATCTTATGCATATTCATGATTAATTTGCATGTTTTCACAGAAAACGTAGCTATCATGATCTGACAAGCAAATGTGACAATGCACATCAATTTTGTGATTCATAGTTTCTTAGTCAATCATTGACACATATATTATATATATCTGATCATTTTTACATCTAATTTAAGAATTAAAAATATATATACTGATATATGTAATTAATAACCAGTAAAAACATGTACACTTCTGTATATATGTATGTACGAACTCTTCATCACTCATTTAACATTATACACAACTGTAATTAATTCACTTCAAATGATATTTGTGATGAAGCAATTACAAGAGTATATATGGTTCAATTGGTCGTCAGATGCCATGCAATATTGATTATTGATTATTGATTGATTATCAGTTGATTGCTGGACGTTACTAAATGATCAACTGGTTTGCAACTGGTAAATCAACTGAAAATATCTACTGGTTGTTCAACTGGTACCAGTTCACAACTGGTGGTTTCAACTGGTCCTAACTGGTACCAGTTGAAGCACGGACTTGAGTCCCGAGTCGTTTAAATTCGGTAAGGGGTCGAATTCCAATTCGATTCATGTTTGGAGGTGTAAAGAGGCTTGCGTGGTGGAGTCTGACCCGAGTCAAGTCCCTGTCTCGAGCCATTGCAACAGTGATCGCATTATTCGTAAGGTCAAAACAAGCAGTTTGATGCCTACAAAGCCGACGAATATACAGGCAAGTTGAACAATGTCTGTGTAGGCCACGGAGTAGAGACCACCAAACAGTGTGTAAAACGCGGCGATGCAGGCCGAGATGATGACAGATAGATTCTTATCTAGCTCAAGGATGACACTGATTGTTGATCCTGTGAAATAACAAGTCATAATGATGTGTTATATTAGATGTTGACGGGGATCCTAATCAAATGATTGGTTGAAAGCGTACATGTGACCAGGCATTAATTTTGCCTAACGCGTAATTTGGATAATGACCGGTCATTAGTAAATCATGTTATAAAACATCATTTTACAAAAAAAAAAAAAAAAACATAATATTGTAAAACAAATATTAGACATCATTTTGTTCGGGCATTAGTGAAATTACCCACATTCGGTACCTTCAAAACAGTCAAAACACCCTCGGCTATCGCCTCGGGCATGTTGGGCTGTTCCAAAGGTAAATTGGTAGTTCTTACTAATCCCCTCACTGCTGTATAGCCCTGGGTCCCGTCTTATGATTGATCCAAATCAATGCTAGTCCTCTAATCAATCGCAAGTTTGCAGTCTACTATCTCTTATGTGCTTAGTTGCGATTTATATCAACTCTTTGTATTTGAACAATGTGTGACCAAAACAAATTTCCATGTATTCTTGTAAATTTGGATGAATAAAAAGAATTGAATTGAATTGCATTGAATTGAATTGGAGACAAAGCCCAGGTCACAGTTTTCCCGATAAATAATTATACTTCTTATTTATATAATTACGGTTCGGCTCGATTCGACTGTTCACTTTCAAATGATCATATACATCGTCAGTGTTGTTACAATTGTTGTGTATAAGGACTATAATCATACATGGATTTATTTTGAAGAAATATAAGTATATAAAATATATTAAATAACATTGGTAAGCTTGTAGTTACTTGCAAATTAAGTAAAACCAGAAATAAAGATATGAAGGAGCCTTTAATAGGTAACACCCTAACAAGTTGGTTGGGGGATATGTAGCGTTGTCAAATAGCGCTAATATTAATTTAAATATTGGATTTGGTCTAGGCCTATCAAAAGAACCAAACATATTTAATTTGAGTATTTACAATGAAATGTGTCCTTTAGTCTAATAAAGCTTTAAATGAATCTAAAGATTTTATTTTTAAAATGTCAGAAAGTTGTATTAAACAAACAAGGATACTTTTCATTCCATAGAAATAATTTGACTTGCATAATGAAGAAAAAAATAGACTTAAACCATGCACGGCCAATTAACGGCGGTGATCTAACAATTTTGCGCTAGTAAAAGTTGGTCGTGGGACAATGTCGCAAAACCGATGTGGTTCAGACTTCCCACAATAGCTTTATATTATTTAGGATTGGGGATATGATAAGGGTTAGGTATACTATTAGTCCAGGGTTTAAATTTGAAATTTGACTAGTTTATCAAAAATTAATCATGGAGAGGTGAATATTTTAGGATGTTAACCTGAAAACGTTCGCAAAGATTTTTCGAGAAATCAACCACACGACAGGTTAAATACGCAATACGTCATGGTAATGTTTGCACCTTTCAATTTGTGATAGGAGGGGGGGGGGGGGGTTGTTAGGTCGGGGTGTGCAGCTGAAGCGTTGAAACCCATACCCATTTTTAGGTTCATTTGGGATAAAGGGATATCCAATGACCATTATAGGACTTTCGACAACAAAAGCAACATTATTTCAATTATTTTGAATTGGGAATTTACACTTTAGCAGGAATATGGATTAGGTATTATTCTGATGAAAAACAATTGTAAACTAGTTTAAGGCCAAAGTCTTAAATAAAAGGGCCCTTTTTAAGGGATTTTCCAACTGAAAATCATACCCCATGTTTTTTTTTGTTTTTTTTTGTATTACCGTATTAACAGCGAGGACCCTTCCATTCCCTTTCGAACCCTTTTGGAATTCTAAGAAAGAAACAATCTAAACGAGAGATACTTACTTTTATCAAACGCTTCCAGTACACGCTCATAAAATCTATTCGATTGAATAATGATTAAGTAATGATTTCTTTCCAATGGCAGTTCATATTAATGGATATTGAACAGTTGAAATGAATCGAATTTGGTAATATTCCTATTTTCTTTCTCATGACAATCATTAACCATCTATAGAAAGGTGATGGACTTTTGCTACATCAATAACTTTGACAAAAAATATTACGAGTTTCTTTCTCGTATTGTTATGTGCTGCATGGTATAGACTGTTTCAAAGAAAATCTTGTTGGCCTACAAAATATTTTCAATCTTAGCTATGATCAATGGTACAAAAAAGTGAG